ACCCTCGACGGTCGAAGAAGCTCCAGCCCCAGCTCCAGCAGCACCTCCAGACTCAGCAGCACGCCTCCAGCGGCGAGCGAACCACTCGCGCAGCTCCTGTGGAGAGAGGGGCTCCCGGCGAGACGCAGCAGTAGGAGAAACCCCAGGCTCAACAGCTCCAGACGCAGCACCCCCAGGCTCAGCAGCTCCCAGCTCAGCACCCCCAGGCTCAGCAGCTCCCGACCAAGCACCCCCAGGCTCAGCAGCTCCCAACCCAGCACCCCCAGACCCAGCACCTCCAGGCACAGCACCCCCCGGCTCAGCACCCCCGCGCACAGCACCCCCAGAGTCAGCACCCCCAGGCTCAGCACCCGCAGCAGCACCAGAGTCACCAGTAACCTCGACCGGGTCAACGGCGTCTACCTGGGACACACCTGAGGGGGCAGGAACCTGAGGGGGGAGGGGGTCTACCGGGGGGGGAACCGGCACAAGGAAGTCCGGGGGAGGTGGGAGGGAAGGAGTGCGGTAGGGGAAGAGACGGTAGAAGGGGACTGACTCGTCGAACGTGACGTCCTGGGAGGACAGAACACGACGAGAGGAGGGGTGGTAAAACTGCCACCCTGGGGCGTCAGTGGGGAAGCCAAGGAAGACACAGGGAGCGGCACGAGGGGACAGCTTGTCCGCAGACAAGTCGCGGACAAACGCCCGAGATCCCCAGACACGGAACACAGACGCATCGCCAACCTTCCCCGTCCACAGCAAGGCTGGGGACATCGCAGGCCGAGAGACCCGGGGGTGAAGGTTGAGCTGATGCGCCGCGTACCTCACCGCAAACGGCCACAGAAAATGGGGGGCAGCCGCATGCATCATGGACGTACGAGCGACATCCATGACCATGCCAATGCGGCGCTCAGCAATCCCATTTTGCTGTGGTGAGTCCGGAAGCGTGAAGGTCTGGCGGATCCCCCGTGCACGACAGTAGTCTCGCAGAAGGCGAGAAGAGAACTCTCCGTCTCTGTCCGAGTGCAGACGCAGAACAGGGAAGTCAGAGCCGAAGCTCTTCCTGAGCTGGAGACGAGCCTCGCGGATCCAGTCGATCAGCACCTCAGTGACCGCACCCTTGCTGGGCAAGGGGAGGACTGTGGTGTAACGCGAGTAGTCGTCAACCACCAACAGGAAGTAGCGCTCATGACCCTGCCCACGGACGGGGGCTGGGCCCCACACATCCATGTGAAGCGTCTGCAGGGGAGCCTCTGTCGGGGGGAAGTGGGAGGAGTGAGGAGTAGCCCGGAGGCGACCCTCGACACAGGGGACACAGGAAGGTCCTGGCCCGGAGGGGAGAGGAGGGAGAGACTGGGGAAGACCAGAGACAAGGACACGGGAAGCCATGCTCCGAAGACGGGGCAAGGAGGGGTGGCCAAGACGGTGGTGCCACAGGAGAGTCTCGTGAGACAGGAGGCGACAAGAACAGGGGGCAGACTCAGGACCTGACCGGGACGCAGCAGCAAGCACCTGACCTGACGCAGCCACCTGACCAGACGCAGGGACAGGAGGAGACTCAACGGTCAGGGTGTAGAGACTCGACCCCGGCCGACGCGAGAACGTGGCCAGGTGTCGGCCTGTGCGTGCCTCCGTGCAGTGGATCACCCGCTGACTCGCAGGAGTGAACTGGTGAACCCCCACATCCTGCAGGTCCGCGCCACTCACCAAGTTCGTAGAGAACGAGGGAAGGTACAGACCAGACAGGGTGCCCGAAGGGGCAGCCGGACACGGGAGGACAGTGGAGAAGCGAGACAGGACAGGACCCCCAGTGGGGTCAGCAAGGGAGACTGCAACCGGCCGGTCGAGCGGCGTAAGGGTAGTGCGGTCTCGAAAGAAGGAGCGAGAAGCCCCGGAGTCAAGTGTGAAAGTGAGGGAGGACGAGGAAGACGCAGTACCTGGGAGCGCAGTCTCACCAGTACCTGAGAGCGCAGACGCACTGGCACCTAGAGCAGCAGCCTCACAAGCACCTAGCGCAGCAGTACCAATGCCCGGGTCGGGCTGGAAACACCGGTAACCCTCATTCTCCTCACTATAAGTCACAGCATACATAGCAGCAAGGATAGCATCAAAATCAAGATCAAAGATCGCTACACCAGCCCTAAGAAGCTCATCCCAGCGAGGGATCTCAGTAGCCCCAGGGAACTGCTGACGCCAAGCGTCCGTCAGGCGGCCAAAGCAGCGCTGGGCAGCGTGGGCACCCCCACACTGCTCACCCGCGCGGTCGCCGGAACGAAGAACGTAGGTGCAGGGACCAGTACCCCCACCCCTCTGACGCCCAACGTACCACTCACGAAGCTGCTGAGGCGAAGGGATGTCCCGCGAGCGCTGCTGCTGCTGCCGCTGCGAGCGCTGGCCACCACCACCGCCGCTACGCTGCTGGGTACCACCCCGACCAGCTCCACCTCCTCCACCACCACTGCCTCCTCCGCTGCCGCCTCCACCGCCTCCACCTCCGCCGCCTCCACCTCCGCCGCTGCCTCCACCACCACCGCTGGCACCACTACCACCGTCTCCGCCGCTGCTGCCACCACCACCACCACCACCCCCGCCACTAGTCCCGCCGCCACCCCCACTCCCTCCGCCGCCACCGCCGCCACCACCACCGCCCCCCCCAGCTCCACCCGCGCCCTTGCCCCCCTTGCCCTTGCTGGAGCGACGTCTCCCACTAGGGGCAGACGCCGCGCCGACCGACTCAAGACCAAGCAGGTCGGCAGCAGCAGCAGAGGCAACAGAGGGCAGCAAGGGGGAAGGAGAGCACCCCTCAAAGATGGGGGTGCGAGGGTCACCACGAGAAGCACCTACAGCGACTATGCTCTTCTCCGCTGCGAGGAGGGCCTTCTCGAGGAGGTCGACGGTGAGGGTGGTGGGACAGGCTGCGAGAAAGTGGTCCCTGACGACGTGAAGGGAGTCAGGGAGGCGCGCGACTACGTAGTAGAGAGCGATGTACATGGGGGGTGGGTTCTTAGCGCAGAACTCAGCAGGAAGGGCGGCGCGGTAGCGAGTGTCACTAGTGCGGAGGTGCGTAATGAGATCAGCGACAGTGGGAAAGGCAGAGAGGTCAGGAAAGAGGTAGGGAAGCATGAGACGGCTCAGTGCAGCAGTGGCAGGGGAGGAGTAGCGCGCAACTACAGCGTCGTACAAGGTCTGAGCACTCTTGTACTGACTAAAGTGCGCACGCTCAGAGGTAGGGAGGTGGCGACGCACAGCAAGACGTGCAGCAGCATCGCGAGTGGCCCACTGAGAGCGGACAGTGGGATCAGCATCAGCAGCAGGAGCAGGAGAGGCGCCAGAGGTGAGGTCAAAGAGAGAAAGGCCGTCAGCCCTGTCGCACTGTAAGAACAGCTGCAGGTCGTCTAACCAGACCTCAAAATCAATGGCGCGACCCTCAGCGTCAAAAGCTAGGACACTAGGGGTAGCCATGACGACGACAGCGAAGCAGTGCAAGCAGTAGGGGAAGAGCACGCAGTGACAGTGCGACTGTGCTCACCAGGCAGGGCAGGCCGGGAAACTCTGCAGAAGGGCGGCTCGGCGACTCAGCGACTCGGCTGATGGGCGGCTCGGCTCCCGGGCGGCTCGGCGGCAGGGCGGCTCGGGTGCAGGGCGGCTCGGCGCCCGGGCGGCTCGGTGGCAGGGCGGCTCGGGTGCAGGGCGGCTCGGCTCCCGGGCTGCTCGGCGGCAGGGCGGCTCGGGTGCAGGTCGGGGCCGGGACAGGGGACGGCGGGGCCGTCAGGGTGCAGCGGCGGGGCCGGCAGGGTGCAGCGGCGGGGCCGTGACAGGGGACGGCGGGGCCGTCAGGGTGCAGCGGCGGGGCCGGCAGGGTGCAGCGGCGGGGCCGACTGGTGCAGTGGCGGGGCCGTCAGGGTGCAGCGGCGGGGCTGTGACAGGGGACGGCAGGGCCGTGACAGGGGACGGCGGGGCCTTTAGGGTGCAGCGGCGGGGCCGACAGAGGTGCAGCGGCGGGGCCGGCAGGGTGCAGCGGCGGGGCCGGGAGTAGGACGGCGGGGCCGTCAGGTGACGGGGCCCGCTGCAGCGACGAAGAGGCCGCGCGGCCGGCGTGAGGGCGGCGCGGCGCCGCAGAGCCGAGAGGGCGGCGCGGCGCGGCCGTAAGGCCAGCGCGACGTGGGGCCCGGGCCGCGCGCGCGAAAAAAAAGGAGTCGCGCGCGCGACTCTCGGGGCGCCACAAGGGCAGCGCGACAAGCACTAGGGGGAGCGCGCCTCGGGGAGAATAGGGCGCGCTCCGGGCAGGAAAAAAATCGTGGGTGGGCCCTTAAAAAAAACCGGTCCTTAGGAGGGACCCGCTCTATACCATGTGAAAAGAATGAACAGGAATGGAAATGACTAAGGAAAGATTGGGTACAAATACAACCCTAGAAACCCTGTACCCCATATGTGCTACCCCACTATAGCCTACAGCAAATATGTCATATAAATCTGACAATCAAACCCGTGGATCAATTGGTGATTGCTCTACGAGAAGCCAGTATAGGACGCTGCATCTTACTGTTATGCGAAAAGAGCTCCTAGAGATCTGGTGGCGGACGCCTCCGTCACAAATCTCGCTTCCTCTCTGGAAGGCTCTGCAAGTCCCGGTTATGATGCACCTCGGACACCAATTTCTCGGAAGAGGGTGCAGCATTCGAAAGATTCGCCTTGGGAACCTGTTTGTCCGCATGACGCGGAGCACAACACACCTCGACGACTATCTGAACGTTTTCGTACTCGTCGTTGTTTCCAGGAAGTCGAAGACCAACCCCAACAACAAGCTGAGTCATCAGTTTCTTGCAAGGCATAGGGACTGGCGGCTCTGCGGAATGGGCCATGTGTTCATGTGGCTTCATTTCATCTATGACCTCGTTTCTCTGCGCTACGGCCCCGGTATCGTCGAGCCTCTCGACTTTTCTTAACCGATCTTGTGGACTAAAGCGCACCTCTACTTTTCTTTGAAGAAGGGCGACCAGGGAAAGCAGAAGCAAGACGAGATGCACTACAAAACGCATAACACCTGGATTAAGTGGGCCATGACGAAGGCGAGATGGATTCTGAGCAAGGTGACACATGCATTCCGCAGGTCCGGAGCGCAACAACTCCATGACGACGGTTGCTCCGACAACGATATCGGCACTCTGGACGGATGGGCGCAGGGGGAGTTGTGGAGGTGCTATGTGTTCGGCATTCCGTTCAAGCCGGTTTGGCTGCTGGCAGGATTCAGCGGGGATCGTGGAGACTACTACATCGGCAGAGCCCGCGCCAAGCTTCCGCGGCATAAGGATAAGGAGAAGGATGAGTGGTTGCAGCTCTTGGATCTCTTGAGGCTTCACATTTTCCCCTGGGTCGAAAAGGGTTGGAAGAAGGTACGTGCTAGTGTACAGTCTTTGCGTTCGTAGCTTAATTTTGATACGCAATAATGAACCGTCGCATTTCTCCTGCATACTCGTCCCGTCAGGTCGAAGAATGGAACGCTGCGCAGACCGATCCGCTGAAGAGGCACTATGCGGGGGCGAGGTTCTTGTCAGAATATTATGCTCTAGCTTGTAGTGGGGTGCTCTATAGCGAGTACAACCCTTCTAGGGTTTGCTATTTGTATCCTCATTCTTGCTAGTGCAATCCTCTTCTTTCTTCTAAACTTTCACAGTTCCTTGAGACCCTCGCGAGCATCAGATGCCTCGTTGTTGCAAAGGATCTGGTTATGATGTGGGTGTTCTGCCATCAGCACGGCGTGAGAAACCCGCGGTGCAATTGCGAGAGGCATCCATATGTGCAGATGAGACCCTTGTGCAACCACCCGCTGTTCCAAAAGTGGGCGTACCTGGTCGCTATCTCTCACTTCCAGGGCGAGAAGCTTCGGGCAACCGGCCAAACCACCGCCAAAGCAGTAAGTGCCTGCTATTAGTGGTAGAGAGAGGGAGTTATTCGTTCATGCTGAGTTCTGCCGTGTTGGTTTCTGCAAGACGCTATCTTTCGCACGACTGCAGAAAAGAAGATGCAGAAGATGCACCTCACCGCCAATATGCTCAGGGAGGAGCTTGGGATTTTGAGAGGACGTGAAATGCAGTTGGCGATGGAGAACGCTGAACTGAGGGAGAAACTCGCCGCTGAGCGAGAGGACAAGGCTCGGGTCATTGTAGAGTTCGAAGCATACAAGAGGTCTGTTGCGGCCAGGGATGACGCGGCAAACACCTCTGCAGAGATCGACGGATCGTCGAAGAGCGCGGGAACAGGAGCAAACCAGGCAACGGACGCATCCAAAGCACCAGTTGCCGTGGAAGAATTCTTCGTCGTGGTCGTTGTGTCTTGGCGCGAAGCCACCACTGTTGCTGCTGCCTGGAAAGTGTGGGTGCAGCCAAGCCTCATCATGGGGGGCAGGTCACTGCGCGAAGTCTTTGCAGAGTTCGACCGGAATAAGAAGAAGAACAAGAATTCCAGCTTCATCACCGCATATTCCCGGTTCGCTGACAAAGGTACGCCCGGGATGGCTGTGGGTGCATGCGAGCGAAAGATGCGTTGCGTGCATCGTGTCATGGTTTCCGTGGAGACGCTAAGAAAAGACAGCTCCGAGGCGGCGACCGCAACGGCCATTAAGCTGCTGGACGAGGCTTTACTCGTGTGCAATTTCACGGAATTCACCAACGGCCTGGCGGTGCTCCATGAGACTCCGCCCATCAAGAAACAGAAGACCGGTTCGTCGACGGAAAAGAGGACCGTCAACGACTTGGCGCAACGCAGAGTGGGCTGGCTGTTAGTCAAGAAGGGCCTTCGCAACCAGGAGTGGGCAACTTCGCTGTTTGGGGATGATGAGTGGGAGGAGATCCACAAGGAACACATGGCGCAGGAGAAGGTGGAAGAGGAGAAACAACGAACCGCTGCGGCGAAGAAGGCGGAACAGGAAAAGGCGAAGGGCGAAGCGTCGAAACGCTAGGAGCAGAAATGAGGGGGCATGTACCTTTAGGGTGGGGCGGTTTAGTTATTTGGGTACTTTATTTCGGTTGTACTGAATATGCACTACAGGCACTTGTCTGTCTCTGTAGAAGCCCGATTTGGGGCTTGTATGCCACCTTCTTCCCTGGACGCGCTGTTTTTCGTAGAATGTATTTCTGGCCTATGCATTGAAGCACACATCGATGGTATACACCGGGCAAAATTCTGCGGACTCATTTCGTATACGATGTTATTCTATAGAGCGGCGTTGATGAATTCACTCTCAGAATTGTAGATGTGTGTTCTTAGGCCACTCGGTAGACTTTTGCGTGGATGTATTCAGTCTCAGCATATGTTTCTGGGCAAAGGAGTGTCATATTCTACTAGTAGCAACGAAGATCCTATCCATGACGGTAGATATTATCCATACGTGGGTTTTTTCTGCGGTATAGTGTCGTTTCCGATTTGCCTCCAGAATTTGGTGTAGAGGAATTCAATCTCCATAGCAGAAAGGTCTGTGCATAGGAATACCATATACGATTCTTAACAAGGTGCTCCCTAAGACAAGATGTTATGCGATTGTTTAGCCCCATACTTCTACCTCCTCGTAGAAGCCGAGTATTAAACGTAGATTCAGTGTCGTAGAAGGTCGTCCTGCCGTCAATTATTTTATTCGGCTGGCCCTCCCTTTGATGGCGAGTTCTATCGGCTGCATTGCTAGCTCCATACGCGGCCTACAAATTTCGCGAGTGTAGTGAAGGTTTGCATAGCAAAAATACATCTCTCATTGTATTGTATACAACAACACCTATATTTATACACGGTAAAAAAAAAAAAAAAAACGGAAAGGAAAATCTATTTCTACTGCGGTACTAACAAGACCTCCAAAGAACCCGTCTGCCTCTATCACTCCTAGCCGCCAGTGTGAGAATAAGCGAACAGGAATGAATGAACTAGCAGTGAAATGAGTACAAGTAGGAAACCCTAGAATTGTGTACCCCCTATAGGCTAACCCACTGTAGCCTACACAAGCATAACATATATAATGTTTGACACACCCCCATAGGCAAAGTGGGGGAGAACAAGGGGTCACAAGACCAGTCAAGCAAAGCAAAGCAAGCTCAGGGTGGATCACAAAGTCACCACACAGTCCGAGCACAAGAGCAGGGCCAGAGGCCAGTTCACATGCAGGAGTACAGACATATATATAAAACTAGACAAGCAAGAGCAGGTATATATATATGTCACAGTACAAGTGAAGTCAAGAGGAGAGCAAGTGAGGCAAGACAGGCACAAGACCCAGCTGGGTGCAAAAGCGCTGATGGTCACAAGGCGCGAGTGCCTTGGTGAACACATCAGCAGTGTTGGCCTCAGAGGCCACGTACGCAAGTCGCAACTGACCACGCTGCTGCAGCTCACGAGCAAGGAAGTAGCGGAGAGCAATGTGCTTCGTTCTGTGCTCCAAGCGCTGCTCTCGACACAAGGCCAGCATGGCCTTGTTGTCTACGTACAGCACTGGAGGAGAACGAGGCAGCTCTCCAAGGTCAGTCAGCAGGTAGGTGAGCCAGCGAAGCTCCTGTGCAGCCATGGCCCCGGCGTAGATCTCAGCCTCACAACTGGAGCCGAGAACCGAAGACGAGCGAGTAGACCGCCACGAGACAGAGCCGGAACCAAGGCTGAAGGTGTAACCCTGTGACGACCGCTGCGTAGCCTGGTCGTCAGCCCAAGAAGCGTCCGCGTGGCCGGTAAGGACCACTGGACTCCGCCCTCCAAGCACAAGCCCCATGCCCGACGTACTGCACAGGTAGCGCAATACCCTCTTCGCTGCAGCCATGTGCTCTGGTCTGTGTCTCCCAGGAGCAACATAGCGTGCAAGAATGCTCAGAGGATATGCAAGGTCAGGTCGTGTGCAGGTCATCAGGTACATGAGGCAGCCAACAAGCTCTGCATACGGACCACTCGACTCTACGGACTCATCCGAAGGCAGAGCTGAGAGTGAGTGGCGAGTAGGCAGAGGAGTGGCCTGAGGCGAGGAGTACGTGAAGCCGAAGCGCTGAAGGACCTGCTGCACCATGTGTGACTGAGTCAAGGTAATGGTGCGGCGTGCTCTGTCCCGAGTGATCTGCAAGCCAAGGTAGCTGCGCAGTTCACCCAGGTCTGTGCACGTGTGTCTCTTCAGCAGTTCGGACTTCACGTAGGCGAGTCCAGCAGTGTCCGCTGTGGCAAAGACCAAGTCGTCGACGTACACGAGGATGTAGAACGGCGGCAGTGAAGTGTCGGTGCGCAGAAACAGCGACGGGTCAGCAGTAGAAGGAGCAAACCCAAGAGCCGCAAGCGTAGTCCTCAGTGTGTCGTGCCACTCACGCGGTGCCTGGCGGAGACCGTAGACTGGCCGTCGGAGGCTCCACTGGGTGCCAGGAGGGAAAGTCCCAGTGAAGCCAGGTGGACGGCGCAGCCAGATCTCCTCGTGCAGGCTACCCTGCAGGAACGCAGTGCTGAAGTCGAGAGAGTGAAGCTCGTAGTCGCGCTGAGCGGCTATGTGCAGCAGCACCCGAAGAGTGGTCATCTTCGGGGTGGGAGAGAAGGTCTGAAAGTAGTCAACTCCCTGCCGCTGACTGAAGCCACGAGCAACGTACCGCGCCTTGAAGACAGGTGGAGAGCCCGGCGGCCGCTTCACCCGGAAGATCCACATGCCACTGACGATGTTCGCCCCAGGAGGGGGAACTGCGTCAACGTAGGTGCCTGTGGACTTCCAGGAAGCCATCTCTGCATCCATAGCTGCCTGCCACTGAGAGGAGTAGGGACCCTCTACGGCCTCCGCGTAAGAACGCGGAGTCGGGATGTCTAGTGCATCCGGGTCTCCCTCAGGGGCAAGCAGTACAGACGCGAGATGAGGTGAAGCAGCCGCTAGACACTGTAACTCCTCCTGTCTGTCCTCTAGGACGTCCGTGCCAAGAGCACACTCACCCCCGACGGACGGAGGACAGACAGACGCAGACTCAGCAACAAGACCAGCAGCGTAGTCGAGACGACAGCGAGCAGCAAAGTCAACGAGCTCAACGACTAGAGCAGACGCAGCAGTGGACTCAAAAGAGGGGTCAGTGACGAGAGTAGCAAGCAGACGCGTGACAGTAGGACTGGCAGCGCGAAGAGAGTCCGACTCAGGGTCGGCAAGCGCAGGAAGAGAGGACTCAGGAGGCGAAGGCAAAGGGGCACGCAGAGGAGCAGTGGACGGACGCAGAGACATCCGGTGCGTGCCAGGGACAGGAGGAGGACGCTGACGCGAACCGCGACCACTAGCGCGAGCAGCACGAACAGGCGACGCGGGACGAGACGCAGGCTCACGACGCTCAGCAAGACCTCCAGTAGGACCAGTGTAAGGAGAGGGAGCAGGCAGAGGAGAGGAAGGCTCCAACAGTGACTGCGACTGGACAGGCTGTGGACACTCTACCGAAGGAGAAAGACCAAGAACCTGCTGTAGGAGCGGAACGAAGTACGGCCGAGGCCGCGCGGCAGCTCCAGACTCAGCAGGGACAGCACCAGCACCCTCAGCGACAGCACCAGCGCCACCCACACCTCCAGCGGCAGGACCAACAGCAGTAGGCTCAGCACCAACGCCCTCAGCACCTCCAGCTCCAGGAGGACCCGCAGGTCCAGCAGCTCCGGGACCGGCAGCACCCGCACCCTCGACGGTCGAAGAAGCTCCAGCTCCAGCTCCAGCAGCACCTCCAGACTCAGCAGCACGCCTCCAGCGGCGAGCGTACCACTCGCGCAGCTCCTGTGGAGAGAGGGGCTCCCGGCGAGACGCAGCAGCAGGAGAAACCCCAGGCTCAGCAGCTCCAGACGCAGCAGGGACAGCACCAGCGCCCTCAGAGATAGCACCAGCGCCACCCACACCTCCAGCGGCAGGACCAACAGCAGCAGGCTCAGCACCAACGCCCCAGCAGCTCCAGCTCCAGGAGGACCCGCAGGTCCAGTAGCTCCGGGACCGGCAGCACCCGCAACCTCGACGGTCGAAGAAGCTCCAGCTCCAGCTCCAGCAGCACCTCCAGACTCAGCAGCACGCCTCCAGCGGCGAGCGAACCACTCGCGCAGCTCCTGTGGAGAGAGGGGCTCCCGGCGAGACGCAGCAGCAGGAGAAACCCCAGGCTCAGCAGCTCCAGACGCAGCACCCCCAGGCTCAGCAGCTCCCGACCCAGCACCCCCAGACCCATCACCTCCAGGCACAGCACCCCCCTGCTCAGCACCCCCAGGCTCCGCACTCTCCGCAGTAGCACCCGCAGGCCCAGTACCCCCAGCAGTAGCACCCCCAGGCTCAGCACCCCCGCGCACAGCACCCCCAGAGTCAGCACCCCCAGGCTCAGCACCCGCAGCAGCACCAGAGTCACCTGTAACCTCGACCGGGTCAACGGCGTCTACCTGGGACACACCTGAGGGGGCAGGAACCTGAGGGGGGAGGGGGTCTACCGGGGGGGGAACCGGTACAAGGAAGTCCGGGGGAGGGGGGAGGGAAGGAGTGCGGTAGGGGAAGAGACGGTAGAAGGGGACTGACTCGTCGAACGTGACGTCCTGGGAGGACAGAACACGACGAGAGGAGGGGTGGTAAAACTGCCACCCTGGGGCGTCAGTGGGGAAGCCAAGGAAGACACAGGGAGCGGCACGAGGGGACAGCTTGTCCGCAGACAAGTCGCGGACAAACGCCCGAGATCCCCAGACACGGAACACAGACGCATCGCCAACCTTCCCTGTCCACAGCAAGGCTGGGGACATCGCAGGCCGAGAGACCCGGGGGTGAAGGTTGAGCTGATGCGCCGCGTACCTCACCGCAAACGGCCACAGAAAATGGGGGGCAGCCGCATGCATCATGGACGTACGAGCGACATCCATGACCATGCCAATGCGGCGCTCAGCAATCCCATTTTGCTGTGGTGAGTCCGGAAGCGTGAAGGACTGGCGGATGCCTCGCGCACGACAGTAGGCACGCAGAAGGCCAGAGGAGAA